AAGGGATGCATCGGCCGCCGAAAACAGAACAAAGAAGCAAGGCACACAGCACAACAGCCTTTCCGGAACAAGATTGACTCTATTCGAGTTGAAAGAAAAATATCTATGTCAGATTTCTAAGTTCCATATGACTGCATCGACGCCTTTCTAAGTTTACTTGTGAGATGTAAGTCATAATCCCCAACCTTTCTGACCTTTTTTATACAAAATTATAATCCAATTGAGATCAAATAAATACAATATATTTTCGTGTCCAACGACAATTCGTCTCAACGAAACGAAAAGAAAGATACATCGTAGGGTTTTGACCACGCCGTCATTCCCATTCCACGACATAACAACCCGCGCTGTGCCGTTTATGGTTCCGCGTTCGCGTAAAGTGGTTTTTACCAACGGCATCTTTCCCTTTCCTCCTCGCCTGTCTCCCATTTGCGTAAATATATTTTATCTACCTTTTCCATCACTGGCCGTGCTCTTTATCCACGTCTATATCGGTCTTTCGTCTTGTCCAGCCTTCTCTTCTTCATCCGTTATGCCCTGTCCTATTTGTTCCATTTGTCTTGTCTGCCTTGCATTCTCTTTCACCGGTCAGTCTGTGCGGCTCCCTGGAAACAACCGGCCGCCCACTGCCAATCCTGTTTCCTGCTTTTCTTGTCCCTCTGTGTCCCATACACTGCAGAACCGTATTTGAGGTGTCCATGGGCCTCTGGCCTGTCTCTAACCTGGTCATAGTAGAGGAGCTTCTGAGCTTCTGTCCTCCGCCAGCCAATCCTTTAGCCTCTTTGTACAATGTATGGCCACTCACCAATTAACCCTTGTCCTCCAAATGCAGTCCAATCCCCATTCATCCATCGTGCCGGCGAACAGACCCTTACAACCCCGTCTATTTCTGTGCATCTTTCCCATTTCGTGCTTGCTCGTGCGCCTTGCCTCTTGTTCTCGTTCGTGTCATTTTTTCTTCTTCTACTTCGTAGAAGTAACACGCGCGTCGATGCACCGTCATAAATGATGGCGATGAGCGTCGTATTCCGTACGTGTACATGTACTGCAGAGATGGGCCCTCAGACGCCCCCTTTCTTTCCATTCCACGTACCGTTGCATTCCGTCCCGTGTGCAGCATGTCCCCAAGACAATTAAAATACTCCGTACGACACGACTCTGGCAGAACCAGAAAAGGCCATTCTGCGGCGTGTCTTCCGTGCATCGCCTCTCTGCGAATTGCTCCTGCCAACTCAGGAAGGCCTGTCTTGGCAAACAAAGGGAAGGCACTCGTGGTCGCAGTTGCCCAGTTCTCTTGCCTTCCTGCTGTGTTGTCCAGCTGTCCGGAAATGTCGAATGCGGACCATCGACGGCTCTCTCTCTTTCCATTTTGGTCCACCCCTACCCGTCCACGGGGCAGGCACTACGTCCTCGACGGCAGAGGTTTTTGCAGGGTCCACAAGCGTGATGAGCGACATAAGGGGATTTTGGCTGGCCTCTACAGCAAGGCCAGCTTCGCCAGAGGTGGATGAGGTCCCCGTCTTTGACGTGCAGGCGCCAGCAGAACCTACCTGCAGCGTTGTGCGTCTCTCTGCATCCTTCTGCAACCTTCTGCATGGTCCTGCAGGCCAGCCTTCACCCTCCAACACGCGCCATTTACTGGTCACGTTTCGACGCGATGCCAGTGGTGTCTGTCGTCTTATGATTTGCTCTCGTGTTGGGTGTTTGTTTGCGCGTGAGCGAGCGCGCGAGGCTGACCGTTTCAGACGCGAACGCGAGTCATTTACCAGCTACGGCGGCCCAGAGTACGACGTGCTTTTTACCTTTGCACTCTCCACTCCACGCTCGGTCCTCCCATGCGTTTCTGTGTGTACATTTTGGCATATTATTTTCTATGCTACGAGGTCTTTCTATTCAGGTTGTCCATGAGCTGTTTGTCCTCTCCGCACAGTGACACATGTCCGACGCCGTCCGAGGAAGTGCGGGACTACGGAGCCTAGGCTTGGCGGTGCTTTTTTTTTCACCTTCTGTGGAGCAATATCTTCTGTAGCCATTTGCTTGAGAGCGTCGCCGAGGGACACTAAGACTGCTGTGCCTCTGCACAGGCGTTTGCCGTGCTGAGCGTTCATATTGTGCAGGCTTGAGGATCCTATTTTCAAGGATCTCGCCCAGGATCAGGCTTGGCCAGAGCGGACTTTTCAGGGACGTTGTTAGTCTGTTGTCTTGTGTCGTATTGCGGAGGACCCGGTATGCTAACCCGGTTTCTACGGCGCATCTGACACGACATGCAACGCAACGACGGCAGAAATAGGGGGCAACAAGTATGGGAGGACATGGAGGACAAGGAGGGAAGACAAAAAACATGGAAACGGCAAGGCTCCACGACGTATGCCTGCAGTCTTTTTGTCTGGCCACAGATACCAGCAGCTTGCCATACTTTTCAATGACATCCATCGAACAGAGCACTGAAACACCGGCAGTGCAAAAGAGAGAGTCCATCGGCCGGGACGTTTGGAAAAAGAGACGTATTCTCCTCGTTGCCAAGGTCATCTCTCGGCCCTTCTCCAGGTCGAACAAGACTGTCGGCTCGCTGTTAACGGGACTGTCGGGCAAACAGCAAACAATCTGTCTACATCCAGACGCAGAAACGACAACGAAACTAGCAATACGAGCATTCTTTGGTTTGTGCCCCTGCTTCATTAAGTGCACACCTGCTCCAGACAAGACCGTCCCGTTGAATATGCAAATCTGTCTTGCCCCGGACCGAATTTTCTGAATAGAGGTCCGCACGGTTTAAGGTTGTTTTGGAATAAAACAAAAGACAGCAAACTGACAGATCCGTGTACGACATACCAATGTATTCAAATAAATGATTTGATTGCATGTCGTACTCCGTACGTCGTTATTATTCAATCACATATATTCTTATCGTGTCTGCTATGCTTCTCCTCTGGATTATTCAATATATCTGCCTTTTCTCTGCCTTTTGCTTTGGCCACCTGTTTTCCCGCCTCTTCTATCCCATACAGCGCAGGGCACGTTTCTGTTGCCATGATTGAATTGTCCGCTGTCCACAGCAGCCGCGCTCGTCGTAAATGTATATTCCAAAACGTATATGCTATATGTTCCCACGAGACTGCCGTCTCGCCTAGAATTACACCAGCCTCTTTTAACACACCTCATCACCGCGTCGACACCAAGACAACGGCTGTTTCAAAAGCACTTTCAAAAGCACCTTCAACAGCATGCTCTGTTGCAATGGATGCTGCATTTCCGCCGGAGAAGAACATTGCACCCGCGGTCCGTGGAGACTGCGCGATGCATGGTAGCTGTCCATCGTGTCCCGTGTTTATTCTTGGCAAGGATCTGTGCGGGCGCGCATCGAACGTGTCGACGGTCTCGAAGCTCGAGCTCTCGAGCTCTCGAGCTCATGAGCTCTTTTCTCTCATGCCACCCCAGCTTGTAACGGCGACCCATGCGAGATGAAGGCCTTCGTTGAAGAAAACCAAGGAAGAAGAAGAAAAAAAAACCTCCGGTGGGCACAGACCTTCTCGCAGCCGTGTGCTGGTTCGGTGCGTCTTTTTCTTCTGTTCTTCCCCTTTTGTCTTGCTGTTTCATTGCTCAAAGACCGCGACAATTGTCCTCTGTCGTTCGACAAACTCATGTGTAGGCACACATGTCCATCATCTTCGTTTCTTGTCGTCGTATGGAAACCGGAGAAGTCATTCCCCTCTTCGTGGCCCCCGAATACTTCGCGTTCTGGAACCACAAAACAGCCGGCTCCGGAGAAGGGGCCCGAGCAACGTGGAAGCAATAAGCGCGTTTTTATTTCTCCCCTCTCGTTTCCCATTCCAAATGGCCCGTATGGAGTGCGACGCCGTACGGCCTTGAGTGGCAGGGGTTGTCTGTAATTGCTCACTTTGCTCTCGTGTCATCGATACATCGTCGATATAGTCGATAGAGTCGTAAAGTAGTACTCCGAATTTCCTCCGTACAACACTTGTATTGCACGTACACAATACCGGACTAGACAAAATGGCTCTTTATTTAGCAAAGACGTGTTTCAAAACACCGGCAAACAAACAACGGCCGCATGCAAGCGAGTCCCTCGCTGTTCTTCTAGATCTCGGATCTTCTAGGGTTGTTCGATACTGCATGCATGCAGCATAGATTGCCGGCAGGGGGCGAGGGGGGCCGATAGAGTACAGTGTAGTTGTCGATGGCTGACGCAAAGATGGCTGGCCAGCAGTTTGATGCCCAGGTTCAATATGCTGTTTTCCGTTTGTGCATATTCCAAGTGTAATTTGCCCATTCCCTTTCGCCTCCCCTTCTGCCGTCCCGCAACGGCCCGGAACCTCAAAGACGAGAGAGTAGAAAACAAAAACATTCCTTCTTTGGCTCGGGGCGGTGTCCGCCGTTGCTGTGCCAGTTGGTTCTTGGGGCCACGGTGGTCCGTCAGACGAAAACACCGACCAGCGACTCATGCACCGCGCCGGTTTTGTCGACTGTAGTTTCCAGAACGGGCGACAAGACAAATCTTAAAAACCCGGATGCAAACACCGCTGGACCTGGTCTGATACACTTTGTTTGGTTTTGGCTGTGTGATGGGTTTTGAAAGGAAACCGTACCAATACCAGACCATCCCAACCAACGTTTCCGCGTCTGTCCCGTGTCTGCCCCGTGTCCCCGCACACTGTGCTTCCGTGTCCCGTGGTTTCGCCAGTGCCGGAACACGGGGTACGTTGCACTCCCGTATATTTCAGACCTGCAGCCGTTGGCGAAGTTCATTGTGGAGATTGTGTGGGTAGGCGCTCTGGCCTATTTAATTTACTCGTAGGCAGGGTGAGCACAAGCCAAGAAGGTGAGCAGGCAAGCAGAAGACATCCAATTTGGTAGTTGGCAGGAGGAGGAAAAACTCTTTCGTTGGGAAGCTTGTTTGTTTGTTTGTTTGTCTGTGCACACTGTTAATCACCCACGGTGCTTTCTTCTTGGGTGCTCGCAGGAGTGTTTAATGGAAACGCTTAGCTTGCCTGTCGCTCGTCTCGGTGTCTATCTCTCCGTGCAACAATATCTGTTGCACCCTGAGGTTGGACTAAATAGTTGCTCTGTTGTTTGTCCTCCAAAGGCAACGACACGCCGCCACCGACGGGAGGCTTTCTCACCGTCGGCCAACGTCGTATTCGACCGGGGTAAGCAATGTTGTAGGTCTTGGTCAGGTCGCCCCATTGTGTGATGTGGTTGTGAGAGCCTGCTCCTTGTATTCGAACGTGTCTGTCCACGTTCAGTTTGACTGCCATTACTTTGACTGCCATTATTTTATCATGCATTGTCCTTCGCATGACCGCGGTCTGGGCCAAGATGGGCCAAGATGCACCAGGTGTGGCCTTGTGTCGTCATTTGTGGCCAATCTTTTGATTGGTATTCGAACTGAAAGCTATGCAAATCCAATAATCTAGGTTCGCAATAAACACAAGCACACACGTTGATTGGATTTCCACACTCGTGGACACGGCACGGCTGTAGCGAGTTCGGTCTGGCAGTGGCAGACCGTCCTGCCGTGTCTTTGTTTGTCCTCTGCGTTTGTGCTTGTATTCGACCTTAACACGAGCCGTACGAGAGGCTGAGAACGCCGTTCAATGGCAAATTAGATAGGGTTTCGTGCGCTGGTAGTCCCTAGGGCCAATCGCTCGTACTTGCGTGACACTGTCTCCCGCACATGGCGGTTGTGGCCTGGCCCAAACCCGCTGGCCGCCCCCAGAGGTGGTCTGTGCCGGGGGCCTGGCAAAGGGGGCCCTCTCCTCTCGGACTCACCAGCAACCAACCAACGTGAAAGACGATTGCATCGTCGATTGGTAAAACCAGGTCGCTTGATCTGGCCATTTTTGTCTCAGCTGATTTGGTGTCTTGTGAGCCGGCTGAGCGAAACAGAAGCTGGCCTATTTTGTGTGATGCATAAATGCATCTTTGGAATGTGTTGCAGAACGAGGAACAGAGGCTGCAAATCGGAAGAATCTCGTCGGACAGGGGTGGTAAGCATTGTCGCCTGCCAGCAGACAGCTCGCGCACGATACGGTCCAGGAGGCCAAAGGCGTGGCTGGCCACGGCAGCATCTGTCGGCTCATTGGCTGGTGCCAGACAGCTTCGGGTTTCAACTTGAACAGGTGAATATGACGAGAGAGGAAGACCGACGGACGAGTTCGTTGCCAGCCCCTCTCGTCACGGCCCATATCGGCAATGTTCGTCCCACAGTGGCAATGCTGACGCCCCCTCTCCGGTCGATGATGTAGGAAGCGCAGACATGAATAGACTCGAACCAAGATCGTCAGCAGAAACGTACGCCGGTTTCCGCGTTCTGCAGCATCAGCGGACGCCCGTGGTTCGCCGAGACAGAAAAGGACGAAATGGGGGGAAGTTAGAAAACGAATAGGAGGCAACGATGCAAGGGAGAAATGCCTTCCGAAGGAGTACAAGGTCAGCAATGAACCCCAAAGACCGCGGTGTCTCCCTCTTCGCCTCAACCGTCCTTTTGTTCCTTTTCGTTCTCGTCGCCAATGCTGGGCTCTGCCCGGAGTACGTGTCAAAAGGTTTCGTTGCCTCTGCCTCGCCAAAGCAGGATAGGATGTTCTTGTCTTTGTCTTCTCTTTCTTCGTTTTGTTATTGTTTTTCACTCAATCGATCGCTTTCAGCTGGTCTGGGAGCCGGAGACACGTCCCTAAACCGTGTAAGCGGCAACTCGGTCGTGCATATTCTGCCGCATGTTTCCATGTTTTCCGCGCGTTCCATGCACCCGTCTTCTTGTTTCTGCATCTCGTCTGCGTCGGCCGTCCTTCGCTTTCTCCTTCTGGCTATTTTGTGGAGTTGTCTGCAGCAGCTTCATGCACGAAAAATACGAGCGTGGAAGAAGAACAGTATGGGAAGAAAAAAACGAGGGGGATCCGGAGGCTCTGCAGCACCAGGCTAGGCATTCTGATTATGTCCCGCCGTCGTCTCCGGCAATGATACCTCGATGGATACGCTGGGTCACTCTTTCGATCGGGTTTGTGTGATGCTTTCCCGGGTATTTTGGTTGTGTCGTGTGTTGTGTTCTGGTTACTTTACGAGCGGCGAGAAAGCTGCTTGTTGTTAGGTGCATATCTTCACGTCATGGACCACCCTGGGAAAGCACGTCAATTGCCTCAACAGGCAAGAGCTGCCCTCAGCTGCCCCTCGACGCGGTGCATCGCGCTTTCCTCCCAGCCTCCTTCCTTTGCTTCTTTTGTTCTTTTGCAATTTACGGCCTTTTCATTCGTTCCTTCTCACCCTGGCGCGGGTGCCCATTATCAGTGACAGCATAATGTACGCAGTCTGTCGTATGCAATCTTGCCAGCGCATCAAGGCGAATGTCGCAAGCACCAAACCCTTGCTCGCTCTCAAGTAGGGGGCGTGTAAAGGTGTAAGTGCGAGCTTGCGAATGAGAGGCGCAAGGCACGCGCATAAATCGCCTTTTGAAGTGACAGGCGCAAGCCATTGGTCGACACCAACTGGCCAGCATCTTCAAATCGCTTTTCCTTTTCTGGTCGCTTTTTCACCAGTCGTCGTTGCCCTGGCCCGACGTGCCGCTCCTTCCCTGTCTTCAACATCGTTTTTTTCTGAGAAGGGGAAGGTGTGTAACGCCCACTATGTACGCAAATTATTCCGTGTCCCCTGATGCAATAGTAAACACTTTTATTCTCATAGCACGCTGTGACGCAGCTAGACTCGAATTGACCATCCAACCACGCGTGGCTGCTCGGCGATCCCTGGAGCGAGCGCTCTCTGTTGCTGTTTCTCGCATCGATCGTCTTGCTTCTTCTGAGCCACTTTACCCGAACCGAGTCGCGTTGCAATGGAAACGCGTTTGATGCCGTCTTCCAACTATATCGGTTTATGCGTTTGAATTGCTTTCCTGGTGGCGCCCACACGCCATGCATATATCACTTCAACCGAACCTCTCACCGTTCAACTGCAAGCGCCCCCTCTGCAGGTTGAGCTTGCTCGTCTGCCTCCCCTGGTTAAGGTGTACCGCCAGGGAGTCTGTTAAGCCCTACTGTTCACTTTAACAATCCGCTCTTCCAGGGACAAAACCACTCAAGTCAATTCTTCCTAATTGCAGCGACCTGGAAAAGCTGCTCAGCCATGTGTGTTTGTTGGTGTTTTCCTGGTTGTCTTCGCCGTTGCCTGCTCATCAACGTGGCACCGGGTATATGCATTAGAGTACTATATCGCATATGAAGGAATGCATCGACACGAGAAAGACAAGAGGCAGAACGGCAAATGGCAACGACTGGAGGGGCCGCGCGCGAGCTTTCTCCTGTGGGTGAGAAAATAGTTTGGCAGGCATGCTAAGCATTCATACGAAACACTCAAAACGGGCAAAACGCAAGAAACGAAAAGAAAAAAAAGATGGCCGTCTTGGCTACAGTTCTTGTGCAGTTCTTGAGCAGTTATACACGGCAGTTTGCTGCCGGCTCCATGACCTGGTTTGGGACAAACGAGAGGACGACAGGTTCTTGAAAAACAGGATAAGGGCACTGCAAAAAAGGGGAACAAATAAGAGGAGGGTTGGAGATAACGCCTGCCTGACATGTGAATGGCTGGAGAGCAAGGGCCTGTCTCATTTTGTATGGGAGTCCGACAAGTCGGTGCCCGTTTGAGAAGTTCAGCTGTCTTGGAGCTGTGGTATCCTGAGAACAAGGCTATTTAGAACGAATGGCCTCCAATCACGACCACCTATTTCTGTATTTTTGGTTGACCGTCCTGCCATGGGGAGTGAATGCCAGCCAGCCAACTTCGAGTCTTGGTATCTTGCAGCGTTGCATTTTGGCGCTCGGGTTTATTGATATGAGATTGAATTGCTGGGATACAAATGACAATAGTCATCGAGGCGGTGAAGGCCCAGCTCAGCTGAAGATGCAGGTGCCATTTCAGCTACAATCTTCTTTGGACACTTCATGCAGAGACAAAGACATTGCCGAGCTTCGAAATGTGCAGTTGCTGTACTCCAGCGTGTCATTTACCGTGTCTTCTGTCGTGATGATGCCATCTGGCTGTTTGTTCCCCGCTGAAAAGCGACGAAATCCAGCTTCGACGCTCGTCCGGTAGTTACAATCCCTCATCGTACACCATCGAGGCTGTCCCGGTCGTTGATGGATCGCTGTCGCCAGTCGTACGCATCCGTCTGTTACTGCAGATGGTCATCCTTTTCTGCTCGTCTTGCACCAGAACATTGAATCGTATGCTCTTTTATCATGCAATCAAGCCCATCTCCCCCTATTTTTTCTCCGCCTTATTTGCATTTCCCTTTTGTTTTCTGTATCCCGCCTGTTTCTCGTTCTTTGTAGTATGTCTCAGACATGCACTGCGTCGGGATGCGAACAAGTATGACGGACATAATTGTTCCTGCTTCAGCTCAGCGTCGATGTTCTTCTCTCTCCCTCTTACTTTTTTTCTTCTTTTTTTATCTTCTTTCTTTTTGGTTCAGCACTTGCATAGATGCGCCAAGAACCTTGTAGCGGATTGTTCCCCGTCCCCAGTAAGGCCGAAACCCATCTCGCTCTCCCAGCCCGAAAGGGGCGCTCTAATAAAACGTGCAGATGGAAGTGAGGGTGATTGTGACGAAAATCTAGCTTACTGCGTTCTCAGAAGGCTCCCTGCTCCGTTGCACTGTTGTCGCGTGGGACAAAGCACGCAAAATCCTATGTCATATCCCAAATCCTAGCATATACAAATATATCCTAGCAGACACGCACAGTATTTTTTTTCGTCTTTTTTTTTTTTTTACCCATGCATCCAATTTCAAGAAGCCTTTAAAGGCCAATCAGATTGCCTGGACACGTCAAGAAGGCACCGCGTTTAAATAGATAGACGTGCAAGGTGCGTCTCCACCGTGATGGAACCCCATGCATGCAGGGCCAGGGTTTTTCGTGTCACTTTATTTTCCGTCCCTTTACTGGGTGCCCGAGATACCCTGAGCCCTCTAACCATACCGCTGGCAGTAGGCTTGCTTCTTGCAAGTCGCTCTGTGATCTTGGTCGGGCTCCGCAAATTTGACCATGGATTTTGTGAGCCATGTTCGAGTTCACTGGTCTTGCTTTCTTGATTCGTTGCGAATCCTGCGGCGAAGGAAATCTTGTTCGTCGTAGTGTCGTGTCGCGCCGTGTCGTGTCGTGTCGTATTGCTTTCGTACTTTGTAACAAACTCGGCAAGCATTCTCCCCGCCTTCTTTGTTTCTGGCATCTCGACACATGCCTTTTTGGCGTTGCATCGCGTCAGAACTGGTCAGGGGATGCCCAAAAAGCCGGAATGAATTTGCATGGGGTCGTCCTTTCTGTCGCCTATTACGTCCCTCACTGCGTGTCTCCGGCTTCGAGTGACATATATACATTTCATATTTGCTCTGGGCATTGCCCTTCCGTCCACCAGACACTTTTGCTGCAAGCAGATTGATAGGCGCGTGACACGCATTCGGTCCGCATGCCACCGGAAGCCGCCGCGTTGCCCGGCCCCTGCGATCGGACGGCGTGAGATGAGGGCTGTGTGATATTTAAAACAGGATCATCACTCTGCCAGGCCGACAAGCTCCAGCACGAACTCAAGCGAGGTGAGGCTACACCCGGATGGGAAAGAGACGCAAGAGCTTCCCGCGCTCCCGGTGAGCCCGTTTGTGCACTGTGGTGCCTGTGCATTTCGGACCTTTGGAAATTTCGTAAATTGGTATTGAGGAGTAGAGGCAAAGTCTCGCATAGCTTTGGGAAGGGATCGCCGCATTTGGTCTGCGAGCAACATCTGGATTTCGGTGCTTTTAGTGCTGGGGCTCAGAATGTCGTACGGAGCAGAGCGAGTGTTGACAGGGCACAGTCTGGCTGGTCCCTATCCCTTTCCTGGCGTAGATTCGGGAACGCATCGAGATTGTGGCGGAGAGAAGTTGACATCTAGGGGGCATTGGGCCGAGGTTTTTGCCTCGAGTGCTTCCTGCGAAGTACGAAGTACTGCTAGCAGGGGGTAGGTGAAGGGGACATTACGTCGTGCGAGAGTTTGCTCCTTCCCACATTGGCAATACGTGATCTTACCTGCTGCAAGGCTCTAGCGCCATCGTTCATTGGCAGGGCAGCTCGGGCAGGTGCGAACGAAACGGGAAGCGCGTTTTTGGAAAGATGCGCGTTTGCGGGAAGCGGTATCCACACGTGGAGAAGGCACGTTCATTGGTTCTAGACAGGAAACGGCTCCAGAACGAATTGAGCACACCCGTTGCTTTGTCCCTTTTGGGACAAAAGCGTGGGTTACCATTGGCTAGCGACCAGGGGTAAAGGTGCCGCAGGACTGGGGCGGGGGGGAAGGAGGGACCTGTTTAATGGAGTGGGGGTGGTCTGGACCAATGAGAAGGGTAGGAACTGACGGGGAATGAGGAAGGAGCAAGAGGAAGCCGAAAAACACCACCAAAACGGAGCCAAACCCAGCAAAGAAGCGGGAAAAGACCTTGCCTCCGAAACCTTTCGCTCGTGACAAACAGAGTGGACAGTGACGGACTACAAAGAAGGGTTGCAACAGAACAACGTCAGAAGAAACAGTGACCCGCGGCCAGCGGTTGGAGACAGAAGCAGTGAAGACAAAAGCCGTACGACGTATCTGCAAGAGGGAAGGAGCGAGCGGACGGATGATAGAACATGGCACCTTCCAACAGAGGGACACGGGAGCTGTTGAGCAAACGCAGGGAAAGAGGTGGAAGGCAGTGGAGAAATCGTCCCATCTCGGCGAGCCAGCCGAGGGAAGGTGAGATGCAGTGTTCTGCTTACAGAGGATGTCGTACGACGTGTTTCGTACAGTTCCCTGTTTATCTTAATTGACTCCTCACTCACTGGTGATGGCTGCTCACGTATTTTCAGCCTTAAGGTCAGCAGCTCTTGACCCAAAACAGCCTAGGACGCTCCCGTGCCTGTTTCTGGTTCTTTATGATTTTACACATTACGTTGTGCTTCATACGATGTAGGGACTCCCCAGCTCCCATACACTGTCGGGTGCTCAAGCCCTGGCTAGTCAGCATCCTGTTCAACGCACTACTGCGGTCCATTTTTCGATTGGGCCTTCCATTTGGCTATTGTCTGCTGGGTCATTTACGAAGGCCTGCTTCTGTGCAGCTCAGATGAGTGGGAACGTAACCACCAAGAGAGAGTCCACACACACGCTGCCACCCTACCTCCTACGAAGGGCCACTCAAGGGCTTTTAAGCCTCATAATCCTCCGGAATGGGCAAGACAGAAAGTCAATGTGTACATACAAAGTACGTTGTACGACATGGGTTGTACGTCGTCGGAGGAGACGAGTGGAGGACGTGTCGTAGTAGGCGGCAAGGGGAGAACAAAGAAGATGCTGGACTACTGGACTCTCCACCCCCGATGTTGTTGGCTAAACGTATCGCAAAATTAACAGAGGGGAAGAAGAGGGGACCGTAGGCATGAGATGGCATACGGAATATTTCACCCAGATGCATGTGTTGGTGCAACGCAAGACAAGAAACAATGGTCAATGTATCTTTCTTCTCCAAAAGGTCTTGTAAGAACCATCAGCCACCAAACAGAACAATAGATTGAACACTTGCTGATGCCGCCGGACCTGCAGAGACACGGCTGGGAACCAATCACAGGGCAAAGACGCGAGAACTGCACGTCGTTTCCCGTCCCTCGGGCGTGCCAAAGCACGCGAACTTGATGTCGTAAGATATCGTCGTAACTAGCGCTTCATTGCACTGCTTAAATTCCCTCCCAGCACGCCACAAAGCCCACCTACGGCAATTCCGGTTCGAGCTACGCTACAACGAGTCACGCAGTGGGATTTTTTTTTCTTTCTTTTTTTTTCTATTGTTTCGGCTGAGTGAGCTTCCCAATTTGTCGTTGCCAAATTTGCAGCGCATAATTTGCAGCGCATCCCTTGCGTTGGTCTAGCTGGGACCGACCGATGCTCTCTGCCTTTTGCTGCCACAAAGGCTCTCCTTTGTACAATACATGAAACCTTTTACCATATAGTAGGGTCAAGTTGTCGTCAACGGACAATGAAGAAAACGGCAGCAGTTGGGGAGGGAGACTAATGGGAGCAGCGACCTTGAACCGTAAATACGTTGCTCGTTTTGCTGGCAAAATTTTGCCTTCCTAAATCGAGAATCATCGAGAATTATCGAATAAATCGTTCGTGATCGTCTGCGCGCCATTTCGCAGAAGGTTGTGTCTGCCCTATTTCTCTCCGACACCTTCCTGCAGGCTGATCCCTCGTGCTCTTTGCTCCTCTCCACAATACATATCGTATCCATATTCAGGCCGGCTGGTGCCAGGCCCAAGCCACCCCGCCTAGCCTCGACTTGGTGAGATTGCAGAAGACCACAAAAAAAACCTGCCTCGTCTAAATCAACGCGTGAGACTGTTGAACTTTGGACCTTGACTGGCTGAATGGCTCGCGTAGCTAGGAGGCCGTCAGCAAGAGCCCTGTCCTGGCCACGCCTTGGCCGTTGGCCGTTTCGTCTTCCTGTTAGTTCTGTTCCCTCTGTGGCCATGCTTTGTGATACTGACTCCCGTACAGGGGTGACCCTGACAGAAAGGTGCAATTTGCAGCCGGCCTCTCAGTATCAAACTGATTCAACAGTATCATATCATACTTGTGGAAGGCGGTTCCATTCGGTGAACAACACTAAAGCACGAGATCGGTATTTTATGATGTTCATCGAAAGTTCGTCAGTCGCGTTCAGTCGCGTTCAGTGCGAATTGTGCATTCGTTTTGTCGTGCTGCCAGGGCGATGGGAATGCGGGAAATCTTGGGGGCATAACGTCGGCTGTATTGGGAGCTTTGACCAGACGTTGTCTCGACCATCCGGCGACTATGGGAAGCTTTACTTGATGGAGGGAAGAGTGAGGGAATAGCTACCCCTGAATTTGTAGTTCTTGCCTTGTCAGGACATCTCATACTGATGGAGCTCATGTGTTGATGGGAAAAGGAAGGAACGATGGTCCCGTGTTCTTTCTTCGCTTTCGTTTCGATCCATTCCCTCTTTCCCGATGTAGCAAGTTGCTCAAGCACCCCTACCGCTCTTTCCTTGCTTTGCGACATACGTCAGCAATCTCCACCAGTTGTTTCGCCTCTCTCTGTGTCACGCATCGTCAAATCCTCCTCCTGAATCGATTTTCGGCCTGGCACACCTTGTCGCGAGCCCGCACGAGGTACGGAGTACCGATACTTTGCTCAAATGCCCCCCCCCCTGCCCCCCTATTCTCTGTCCCGCTTTGTTTGCTTGCGGCCCTCCACCACCTTTGGATATCAGCCTTTTGTTGGCTGCCACGCTATTGCAATTCTGGTTCAATGGTGATCTACATGCGCCGTCCACGACGCAGCCTTTTCCCTCCTCTCCGTGGTCAGTTGGCGTTTTTGTCCATCTATATTTATTGTGATCTCGATCATCTCGTCGAATCGGAGCCATGTGCAAAAATTGGGAAAGTACACCATATCGACCCCTGAGAAAGGCACGCGCGATATCGTCGCGTGCTCTGGTGACGACGCATTACGGTCGACAACATGTTGCATTCTGCTCGTTTATCATCCCAGTGTCGATCTCATAATTGCTCGTCACATTGTTTACTTTCATACTGAGTCCCCGGTAGGTGGGCAGGTTGTTTACGGCTGAACAATGGCCTGCGGCCACCTCGTGCGGCCGCTTTGAACAATATACCGAAAACAATCATGCAGCGTATTCATAAAAGCCTTTGTTGGCCGGCACCAACGCAGCCATGATGCTCGCATGAGTCGTCTGCCGGCGGTCAGGCCGCAGGCAAGCCGGTCGTGGCCTCTGGTTTGTGCAGGTGTGCAAGGACCAAGCGAGGAAGGCTGGAGCCGTTGCAAGAAAAAAATAAGTCTGACGATGTCTTGCATACAGACAAGAAGTGCAACGCGGTAAAAGAGGTGGAGCAACGGCCTGGGAGACTAGCCCAATGGAGAGGAGACGGAACACCCCAAAATGGACGGTGTCGTGACCTAGGAATCTGTGTGGATGACTGGATGGAGCATCCTACCTCTGTTTGGTTCGCTGTACGGTTGCGCTGCTAAGCCGTGAGCGCGTCCATTTGTGGTGGCCAAAGCGTGTTCTCTTTACACGTGAGATGAGACTGGACAAGACACAGGCACTGAAGTGCAAGGGGCGTCTACCTGCAAGTCAGTTATGAGGCTTTTGAGGGTTATTACCTTCTCATTGGTCGCCATAA